TGCAGAAAATATAAGTTAAAAATTATATCCTGAAAATAGACAGAACTCAAACAAATCAATAGGAAATACACCCCAATAGAAAATGGTCTGGTGGTAATATGTACACACAACATACACGTGACCAAAGCGCATGCAAAAGTGCTCACCTTACAATCCAATAAATGCAAGTAGAAACAGCTAATTCTAGTTTTTACCCAACAAGTTTTCTGGGGTAGGAATGTTATGAATTTGTGTTAAGAATACCATGAATTATCATCAGGGATGAGCACTGACTGCAATTGTTTACAGTTGGTTGCAAAAAGCAATTTGGCAGGCCATACGTGGGGATCTATCCTAAAAAAATGACCAGATATGGATGGGGACTTATAGTGTTTAAAACAAAGGAAAATTACAAACAACCTGTATTTCCAATAAGGGATATGGTTAGGCTGGGCGCGGTGGCTCACACCAGCACTTTGGGAGGCCAACGCGGATGCATTGCTTAAGCCCAGGGGTCCAAGACCAGCCTGGGCAACTTGGCAAAACCCTACTCTACAAACAAAACAAAGGTAGCCAGGTGTGGTGGCACAGGTATAGTCCCAGCTACTTGGGAGGCTGAAATGGGAGGCTTGCTTGAGCCCAGGAGGCAGAGGTTGCAGTGAGCTGAGATCATGCCACTATATTCCAGCCTAAGTGATACAGCAACACTCTACCTCAAAAAAAAGGGAGGATATGCTTAAATTACGGTACACCCCCCAAAATATTTCACAGCTATTATACAAGATGCACTTGAAAATATCTTAATGTGAAAATGTTTATGATATTTGAGGCAAAAAGAATGATAAAAGTATTTCTTGGGTGCTTTCCACGTCCCAGGACTGTTCTATTCTCTTTACATGTGTTTCTCATTCATCTCTTAAAAGAACCTCATGAAGTAGGTACTATTATTAATATTACTATTATTAATATCCTCACTTTACATATGAAGTGGAAACAAGATGGTTATCTTACCCAGGGTTACAGTCTAAGAAGTTCCATTCCAGGCTTGGGGCTGTTAAAAATTTCACCATGTTACCTGATGGCTATCTGTCTGTCTCTGCCTGTGTGTCTGTCTATCTACCTATTTATCAGTTATTTTCACATTCAAGTGAAAATAATTGAAGAAGAGTTTGTCAAAAGGAGTCCTTATAATAGGTATGGTCAGGAGGTAAGAAAGCAATAAGAGGCCATGCAGTACTCAAGGCCCAAAGAGGAGACAAAAATCAAATTAGGAAGGAGAAAGTCTTCTGAGGGGTCCTCTTGTCTAATTATTATCTGTCCGTCCATCATCCATCTACACATCGGTCTTTCAATTCATCTAAGCCTTGCAGCCTCTATATGACAGGATGAGGCAAAAAGATAGCAGATAACACGCCATAAAGTGAATTGTGAGATGCATACCCTAGGGGACTTGTGTCCTCAGGTAGTTAGCTGAAATGTGGTTATGGAAAGCTACAGAAGCCCTTAACACTAATCCCCCACAATGAAGTAGAGAGAAGAGCACGCATAAGGGGCTTTCCGACTTCGAGACCACCCTCTTCCCTGGTGTGGGAGGGCTGTGGGCCCCCTCAGGCCTGAGTCACTCAAAGAGCGGCATCAGACTCCTGGTGGGCAGTGAGGGCAGGGCTGGCCAGCGGCTCTGGCAGGAGAGTGGAAGAGATGGGTGCAGCTGTGGGTTCAGCCGGCTCACCCACCATCTGTGCAGGCTGAGAATGGCTGTGTCCTCTCCATGAAAGAGCTGGCATGTGGGAGAGCCCAGACTCTGCCCTGCGAGGCCCCCTGGAAAGGCGGTCAGTCACAGCAGCCCTGGGAGGTAGCCTGCTGGGCGAGCAGCACGTGACCGCTGAAAAGGGTCTTTCACCAAGCCTGGGGATGCCCTGGGACAGTCGCAAGGAGGCCCTGAACACCACCACCGGGAGACGGGGTCCGCCTGCCCCCAGAGCCTGCAGCCATAAAATAACTGTCCAGCCACTTACCTCCTTCTCCTTCTCTCCCTCCCAGAGGGGTCAGGCCATACCTGGTGAGCTGTGGGAGGAGGCAGAGGGAGGGAAGAAGCCCCAGGCCTAGTTCTCTGTAGCAAGATACCAAGCTGGAGGGGAAACAGCTTTACTTTAAACCAAGTTCAGAGTTTTGATATTATCTGGGACTGGATACTCTAAGCATCAGACTGATGACATTGCTGGGTAGTTACAGTGACAACAAGACTTGGTGTCATCCAAGAGTTTCCAGCAAGGTCATGCTGATTGCTCAAATGCTCACTCAGGAGCTGGAGAAGAACCAGCCACTGGACACCTTCAGACACAGAACAGGAAGATGAAGTCGCCATGTGGTTACTTCTCCAGCTCCTGCCGGTCCCATATGTGTGCATGAGTGAGCGTGCATGTCTGCAATGAACTACACACACGTGCCTGTATCTCTGGACAGGGAAGTGATAGCCGGCACTCATTTTCTTCTTTTTACATGTTTTCCTCTATTTTCCACATTTCCTGCAAAGGGGATGTAGTCCTTTTATAATCAGAAAAACATCAGTAAATGTTATTTCAAAAGAGGAAGTCAGCCTTCTGGAAATTCCCTAATCCATGTAAAATATCACTTGTACCAGGAATGAGTCTTACCCATCATATGCCCAGTACAGCCACAAAGAGCAAGAAACATTCCAACATCTGCACAGGAACTTGGCGAGAAACTGACTCCATTCCCAGGGGAGGAGGGAGGAAGTGAGAATTGCGGATTTTGTTGTTTCTCTTGTAAACACGCTTTGGGATCATATCCTTTTCCTTTCCACTCCCTTCTCCATTCCGTCACAAATTCAGCAGCACGGAGACCCTTCCCAATACCAGCTCAACTGATGTGGCCCATTTTTCAGGCAAATTTCCAACAAGAGTTCAAAGTCAGTACCTTGCCATCTTGGGGGAATTTTAAAGGAATCCTAGAGTATTGAGATAAAAAATGCCGCCTAGCTGCATGTAGTCACACACTGGAGTCTCTCTTTTTTTCTAATGCTTTGCAGTGGAATTACCATGAAGGTGAAACAGCCTTATAAAAAGATCTTTAAAAGATTGTGAAAAAGAGTTTTTGCTATGTTAGAAAAGGAGGTAGGAATCCCATGGAGCCAAAATACATCAAGTCAAAGTCACCCACTTCCCTCTGATAAGAGTGGTAGATGGCCGGATGGGAAAAGGCTGCAGGGCCAGGATACCCAGCACTCAGCTCAGCCTTGGATGACATTTCCCAGTATTCAAAGTGATGAAATGGCAAAATACGAGCTGGATGATAGCAGCTGGGGGATTTCCCAGCTACCGGGAAAACCTTAGAGTTACCTAGCGAGATGACTTGATAAAAGACACACTTTTCAAACACAGCCGCTTCAGCAGATTGGGAAGACTGGATGAACCACCTGTGATTCAAGAACATGGTGAGAAATAGAACTGCAGGTCAAAACTGAATAGGTGGCTGGGCACAGTGGCTCACACCTGTAATCCCAGCACTTAGGGAGGCTGAGGCGGGCAGATCACGAGGTCAGGAGATCGAGACCATCCTGGCCAACACAGTGAAACCCAGTCTCTACTAAAAAAAATACAAAAAAATTAGCTGGGCGTGGTGGTGCATGCCTGTTGTCCCAGCTACTTGGGAGGCTGAGGCAGGGGAATCGCTTGAACCTGGGAGGCAGAGGTTGCAGTGAGCCAAGATCATGCCACTGCACTCCAGCCTGGCGACAGAGCAAGACTCTGTCTCAAACAAACAAACAAACAAACAAAACAAAAAATTGAAGAGGTAAAATACAATAGGAATAAGAGAATAGCTACTCTTGGGTTCAAATAATTACACGATGATAACTGATAACATTTTGTATTTATATAGACTATTAATATTTTACAGTTTACAAGACTGTTTGGGGAGGCTTACCTTAATTTCAACTCTTTAGAAAAAAATCCTTAAGGGTTGATCCTGTTGACTACAAGTTTAAAGTGAACATATACAGAAAAATAAAAGCCAATAGTAGCCAAAAAAAGGTAAGCGCTCTTGTCCTTTGAGCACATCTGAGGCAGTGGGTTACACCCTTGGGGCCACCTTTAAGAGAAACATCAATAATTGAAGTCATAATGAAACAGGTGGGCAGAGAGGTGAAGGGAAGACAGGGAGAGGTGAACAGTTGTTTCAAATATGTAAGCAGCCTCCATATTAGAAGATTCTGTGATTATCAGAAGTGTAGAACTTCCACAAATGACCAGAAGTTTCAAAGATGAAGACTGTGTTTGGGAGAATGGATCTAATCATTTCGATGTTTTGCAAGTAAAATAGAAATCCACAGGATTGCTGGGGGGAGGGTAATGGTTTGGCCACATCCCTTGATGTCAGTCAGCCATGCGCCCCCTAATGCTGCAAGTTCACTCCTGGACATACAGATGCAAGAGGCAGGAGGCTCACTTGAACCTGGGAGGTGGAGGTTGCAGTGAGCCGAGATCGCGCCACTGCTCCAGCCTGGGCAACAAGAGGGAAATTCTGTCTTAGAAAAAAAAAAACCAAGAGATCCTAACCCCCAGAGGAGATCTTTTAAGAGCCAATGAATTCTCTCAGCACAACCCAATTGTGAGCAACATCAGTTGTCCGATACCACAAAGTGGCTCTTAGCTTGTGTGGTGCCAAAGCATCTCTCAGAACTTGGCATTTCTCTGCAGGGAATACCATCCCAGCAAACCTGGCTCCCTGAGGAGTGCTTGGAGCTGCCATAATTACATTCCCTTAGGTGCTACCCATTCCTCATCCTTCCTGGCCCCTCACTATGAAGTGTGGACAAAGGGAAGTGGCTAACAGGACGGCTCTTCAATTAGCTGAAGGATGTTGACCAGCTAGTGGGAAGGAAGCCAAAGATACCCACTGAAAATCCATGAGACCCAAATACATTGCAACACTTCCTCCATTAACTTGCTTCCCTTTTTTGCACTCAGTGAATAGAGCGTTCTCTATCTTCAACAACTTACCTTCCCAAAGGTGGCCGGGTTGACTTGGTTCTCAGTGTTTTGCCCACAGGTCTCCACGTAAATCTCATACATGAGACAGCGAGGGACACTGCACCCTTCGCAAATGCAGAAGTTGTCGACCAACCTGGAGGAGAGGAGGACAAGGAAGAGGAAATTGGCATGTTTTTCTAGAGACAAAATATTTTGTCAAAATCAATGGTCAAGATGTGTGTGAGGTTCCAATAAATGAAACGTCTAATTCATTGGATGAACCCCTGCGAAGGCTCACAACCAGCATCACGAATGTACCCGTTTGTCCTTAGCCCAGTGTTAAGTATATTGACTGTGGCTTTTAGAAGATCAGAAGCCCATAGTGTTTCTGTTTTTGTCTCCTGGCAGGTTGGCATGCTAAAAGAAGTTCAAATGAAGACTTCAGCAGACACTGTTTCATAGACCTTTATAAAGGTTACGGCCAAGAGCTACATAACTACAAAGTGGAGAATTATTGATTCTACTTTATGAATAAGACACAAAACAATACCCAGGGAAAGCCTATCACCCTGCAGGTGACTGCAGGAGCCAGCCTGGCTTCCCAGGCCCCATTTTCACATCCTTCCCTCTCCGATTCCTGTTCCTCTGAAGAAGTTGCTTGCATGGTTCTTAAACCCCTGTGGTTTAGGGCAGGCCATTATGTTTGGATTTTGAATTGCAATGAGGTGTAAAATGCAAGACACCAAGAGACACTGAGAGGCAGAGTGCTTTTGCTCTGCTTTCTTCCCTACAGAGCCAAAGCAGCACAGAGCCAATGCAGCAGTGCCTGTGACCTCTGCTCAAAGTGATACCTTCAACTACACCAGTGCTCCCAGTCTGGGGGCAGAGTGTATTCCTTACCAATAAGGGGCTCTGGGTGAGGTTCACAGACCACCCCCGGCCCGTGGGGACAGCCAGGTGCCTGTTCCAGCAGCAGTATGTCAGTGTGCAGGCGAGTGGTGAAGGTGGCCTGGGTCAGAAAGTGTCCGTAGTGACATCCAGCTACAACCTTCCTTTCCCGGTGGGATGGACGGTCGTTCTTTAAAAAAAATCCACAAAGCAAGCCAGTATAACTCTTAAAGAGGAATATTTATTTAGCAGAGACTTTACAGACAATACATGCCCTTGGCATTTTTCTAGAGCAAAATATGGGTATTTTGCTTTAGATGGGTATATGGGTAATATATAGCTTGTCTTCTGGAATGAGGCACACTGAGGCCAAATGTACTTTCCTTGGGAACTAAAGGATATAGTCACAATTGTTAACCCCACTGGCTTTCCAGAAAAAAAGACACAAGAACATAACGAATGGGGGAATCTCTGACCCTGCAACGTTTCCTCGGGGTGATCAATTACCACAGGCCCAAGGGCCTCAAACAACAGAAATGCATTCTCACAGTTCTGGAAGTTGGAAGCCTAAAAATCCAAGTGCCAGCAAGGTCGGTTCCTTCCAGAGGCTCTGAGGGAGACCCTGCTGGATATTTTTCTCCTTGTTTCTGGTAATTGCCGGAAGTCCTTGGTGTTCCTCGACTTCACTCCAGTTCCTGCCTGTGTCTTACGTGGCCTTCTCCCTGTGTGTCCGTTATCTCTGTGAATTTTTTCTTTTTTGTATTTTTTTAGTCGAGACAGGTTTTGCCGCGTTGGCCAGGCTGGTCTTGAACTGGGCTCAAGCGATCCGCCCACCTTAGCCTCCCAAAGTGTCAGGATTACAGGCGTCAGTCGCCGTGCATGGCTAGTATCTCTGTGAATTTTCTTATCAAGATACCAGTGATTGGATTTAGAGCCCATCCTAATTCAGGATGACTTCCATTTAACTAATTACATCTACAAAGATCCTGTTTCCAAATAAGGTTACATTCTGAGGTTCCGAGCGGACATGAGTTTTTTTTTGGGGGATGTTATTCAACCCAGTTCAGGCACCAAGGAAGTAGATTTTTCTGGGATGCTTCCCTAAATCAATGTGGGAATATGACACTTCAGATACTTCACGATGGTTTAAATCCAGCTGCTACTGCATCAATTATTTGGCTCAAGGTTGAGTACAGGGTGATATCTATTGGTGGGATGGTGGGGTGGGGGAGTGGCAGATTCATATATAGTCAGCATACAGATATATATACACACACATATATACACACATATATACATATATAAATATATATTATACATATATATACACACAGAGAAAGGCTCCCTCTGGAATACAGTGGTGCAATCATAGCTCATTGCATCCTCAAACTCCTGGGCTCAAGGGATCCTCCTGCCTTAGCCTCCTGAGTAGCTGGGACTACAGGTGTGTGACCATGTCCAGATACTTTAAAAAAAAAAAAAAAAAAAAGCGTAGAGACAGGGTCTCACTATGTTGCCCAAGCTAGTGTTGACCTCCTGTTGTTGAGCAATCCTCCCACCTTGGCCTTCCAAAGTGCTGGGATTATGGGCACAAGCCACTGCACCTGGCTTGTATTTCTTTTGTTAAGACACTACTTGTTGATATATGAAAAACTCAATATTGGAAGTATCCCAGAAAAGTGTTGGCTAGATCCGGGAAACTGCAGCAAAATGTGATGTGCATTGAATTCAAACTCACTTGTTTATTCATAGTTACTCCAGATTTAGTTAGGGAACGCTCTCCTTAAAAAAGAAGTGTAAAAAACACAAACTCCTTAAAATGAACTCCAGTTTTCCATGTTTGCTGATTGTTCTTTCCTGTGACAGACGCTCATTTGCTCTAAGTCTCTATGAATTGCTGTCCTCCAATTTCAAAATGATACTACCGAGCCTGCCTGTTACCTACGTGGAGTAGGAAGGCCAAATAATACTCTTAATAACAGTAAAGGTCTGTGGCCAAGAGTCCTTTCTATGCCACACATGTAAAGAAAGGGCCACCTTTGGATGTGAGCTCTGTGTGGCTGCCTTGGTCCTGGCAGTTCCAAGAGATTCATCTTGTCTCTGACCATGTGTCTGTGGTCATTTGCCCAACATTCTAAGCCAAATCACAGACACCGATCAATGGCAGCCAGTCAGCATACAGTAACTGGACAAGCAGGAAGTTTGAAAGTGGACTTTGTCACCCAGTAGTTGCCTCAGCCTTCGGCGTCCACACACATGGGAAATTACAATCATGACTCTTACCCCGGGCTTTAGAACCTCAAAGACCCGGGTTTCCATTCTCAGGAGAATCTGAGACACCTGAGAGTTTTTGTGATTAGAAAACAAGTACATGATGGGCCTACTACCTGGCTTGCATACAGCAGCTCTTATCATTTTTATGTCTACCATCAAAATCTGGAATGGAAGCAAGAAAGATGCTGATGTTGGCAGAGTGGCTGCACAGAGTACCTGCTGTAGGTGAGCCTGACTTCCAACCACCTGGGGCTCCAAGGAGAGCCTGCAAGGGGACTGGCAGAACTGCTGGCAGGTGACATTAAGGGTTTTAAACTCTACTACCAAAATGTTCTTTGGTGATACACCTGGGAATAAAGCCTGCTTGATAAAGATCACTAGATTCCTTGCTTACCTGCATAATAACACTATTTTCCTGGTCTTGCCATCAGACAGGGTGGATTAAGACCTTGAGACCATTCACGAAGTTCTCCTCACTTTGAGTGATGAACAATCTGATGATTACTGACTTCACAGCACAAATACTTAGCCAGTGGTTCACACATTTTCTGAGTACTCTTTAAAGAAAAATGTCATGAGCAACTGGATGTGGTGGCTCACGCCTGTAATCCCAGCACCTTGGGAGGCTGAGATGGGCAGATCACCTGAGGTCAGGAGTTCAAGGCCAGTCTGGCCAACATGGCGAAACCCCATTTTCACTAAAAATACAAAAATTAGCTGAGTGCAGTGGTGTGTGCCTGTAATCCCAGCTACTCGGGAGACTGAGGTAGGAGAACTGCTTGAACCCAGGAGGTGGAGGTTGCAGTGAGCAGAGATAGTGCCACTGTACTCCAGCCTGGGAGACACAGTGAGACTCTATCTCAAAAAGAAAAAAAGAACAACAACAAAAACAACAAAGACAAACAAAAAAAAGAAAAATGTCGTGAGCCCCCCCAAACTAGGAACTAGAGTCCCTTTTGGTTCCAGCTGATCAAAAGCTACCATGAATTCTGCACCTTTCCAAATACATTTGTATTTCTAAAATTTCAACAGAGTCTGCAGAAATTTGTAAAAGTCTATGTGGGAAATAGTTATGTAGTCTACAGCCAGGGCTCAGCATGCATTGGGATTAGATAATGCTTAGGTTTTGCCTGGTCTGAAGCCAGGGGTCAGACCTGCTAGGTCTGCACCCCAGCAAGGAAGTCAGATCACTGTTCATTTCTTTGGGCTCCCCAGAGCTTTAACCCCAGCTCTCCCTGTTTCTGCAGTCTTTCCTGTCCATGAAACAGAAACCTTCTATTACCTCTGGCCCCGGAGACTTAACCAAGCTCTCCTGGGACCTTTCTCCTGGGAGAATTTATCCAGTGTGGATGACAATGGCACTGATGTCTCTAAGACATGCTGAGGACCTAACAAGTGACTGATTAGAAGACAAAACGAAGTAATGTGGAAAATGGCAGGTTTCCTCCACAGGACAACAGCTGGGCCCCTCCCTGGTCTTTCACTCAGATGCTGGCTAACAGAGTTGTCTCCAGGCACTCAGGCCCCTCGCCCTGCACTACCCACTACTGCTCCTCCAGCACTGGTAACACCTTCCAGGCTTTGGAATACCAGAGGCTGTTCTTGATGTTAAAACCACTAGTGCCAACCATCTGTTTTGGGTGTTTTTGTTGTTGCTGGAGATGGAGTTTCACTCTTGTTGCCCACGCTAGAGCGGAATGGCGTAATCCTGGTTCACTACAACCTCCAGCTCCCAGGTTCAAGTGATTCTCCTGCCTCAGCCTTAGAGTAGCTGGGATTTACAGGTGCCCGCCATCACACCCAGCTAATTTTTCTATTTTTAGTAGAGACGGGTTTCTGCCATGTTAGCCAGGCTGGTCTCAAAACTCCTGAGCTCAAGTGACCCACCTGCCTCAGCCTCCCAAAGTGCTGGGATTACTGCCCTGAGCCACCACAGCTGGCCTCAACGATCTGTTAAACATACTACCTCATCAGCTGGATGTCTAAAGAACAGCCCTCCCCAATGAAACGGTGATCCCTCCCTTATTTCCACTGCCTCCACCTCCCCAACCTTGAAGAGGGGCCTATAGGGATAAGAACTTGTAATATGGGACTTGAATAAGTTACACTCTCTGCTAAAATGGTCTACACACCAGGGGTGTCCAATCTTTTCTACCCTGGGCTACACTGGAAGAACTATCTTGGGTCGCATATAAAATACACTAACACTAATGATAGCTGATAAGCCAAAACAAATCTCAGTGTTTTAAGCAAGTTTATGAAGGCCCAGCATGGTGGCTCATACCTGTAATCTCAGCACTTTGGGAGGCCGAAGCAGGCAGATCACTTGAGGTCAGGACTTCCAGACCAGCCTGGCTAACATGGTGAAACCTTGTCTCTAACAAAAATACAAAAATTAGCAGGGCATGATGGCGCAGGCCTGTAATCCCAGCTACTACGGAAGGATAAGGCAGGAGAATCACTTGAACTCAGGAGGCGGAGGTCACAGTGAACCAAGATCATGCCACTGCACTCCAGACTGGCCAACAGAGCAAGACTCCATCACACACACACACACACACACACACACGAATAGAAAAGAAAGTTTACAAATTTGCGTTGGGCCTCATGTGGCCCTTAGGCCGAGGGTTGGACAAGCTTGGTCTAGACCATCATAGGCCTCCTGGTTACCATTTGAAGTGAGTTCACAAACGGTCTTAGGAGGATGTTCAGGTATTTTTAAATCAGTCTCATCATTCTTTCAAGTCTCTGGAGCATAATTTAAACCCTGGAAACTCTAATTTACTAAATGGCTACCTGAAGTCATTGAAAGGCATCTGAGTCCTTTCTTCTAAGAACGCTGCATGAGGGCCTGGGGTCAGTGAGTGTAGCAGAAACCCAGCCCAGCTGTGTAACCCTGAAAAACGCTGTGTGCTTCAGTGTTCATTCGATTTTTTTTTTAAATCTCATTGAAGATAAGACGTATCAAAAATGTTCTTTTGGAGGAAAATGGTAACTGTTTAGGCCTGCCAGGGTTATAATCACAAACACGCCCTTCCTTTTTATTTCACTCACATGACTTTTTCAAAAGTCTTCCCTGAGAAATATGCTTTGAAACTTAAAAACAGAAAAATGCACTCTGTTATATAACAGCTATTCACCTTGTAAAACTAAAGGTCCTAGAACTGGTTTCAATTATTTTCCTATTTAAGAAGATCTGCAACCCCGTGAGTTTCTCAGTCCCAAGGGCTAAGGATATTTTTCTTTCCCTTTTTTCCTGCTTCGACTTAAATAGCTAGAAGTGAATTTCACAATGTGGAATGCAATGTGGAAAGCTAAAAACTCCTTAGCTTTAACTGAGGAAACATCTCATCCTGGATCTAGGGAGAGAAGCTTTTCCTCCCCTGGCCAATGCCCAGGCGCTTTTGGATGTACATGGGAGTCGAGTCCAACCAACGGGCCGCCGCGGGGCAGACCGGACGGCTTTACGCGGGAAGGGTGACAACGGGGAACCCACAGATGGGAAGCCCGGCCCCATTGCCGTTTCGGACCCGGGGCTTTTACGCGTGTCCGTGCATGGGAGGTCCCTCCGCGCTGGGGCGGGCGTGCGGGCATCAGAAAGCGCTGGGCCTGGGGCCGCTCCTCACACTCGGCTTTCACTCGGCGTCCCGAGGGCAGCCGTAGCGGGAACCACGCTTCCCCTCCCCGGCCCCACCTCCTCCATCCGAGCGTCCCAGGGGCCGGGCGGCTCACCACTGGATGACGCCGCTGTGCGGGCCCCGGCTGCCCCCGAGGCTTGACGGCGAGGCCAGCACCCCCTCGGCCATGGCTCGGTCCCGGGCCTGCAGCACCGAGGCAGGCAGCGAGCAGCGGCCGTGGGCGGCGCTGGGTTACACCGGTCCTGCCACCGCCGCTCCTCGGTGTTTACTTTAGAAAGGGGCGCGCGGGGCGGAAACCCAGTCCGCCAGGCCCGAGCCCGGGTGCGCGAGGGCGCGCGGTGAGCTCGGCAGGCCACAGCCCCCCAACCCCCTCGCCCCGCCGAGGATGAGCGGACCCCTCCCTGCATCCTGCGGTGTGGGCTGGAGCGATCTCCCGCTCGCACCCAGAGCCCGTCCCACCTCCGTACCAACCAATCAAACAGGCACGCGAACAAGCACCAACTTACACCTTTTCCAGTCTGGTCGCGGTGTTGAGTTCGTGGGGGTCCTTGACTTACTTGTGCATTGGAGTTCTTCAGGCAGTTTTCAAAAATACTCATACCTGGCTGCTGCTCCCTACCCCAGCCCCGCCCCCCACCCCAAGAGGTTCTGATGAACTGGTCTGGGTGAGGGCAGGCTCCCCGGGTGATGCTAATGTGCCCGCTGTTGCCAGAAACCACTGGACCTAGGAGTTTTGAAAAATCTCCGAGCTCAGAATTTCTGACAGGCGGGTGCATGGGGACTTCTAGGAGGCTGGTCCCAGGTGACTCCAGTGTGCCGCTCCAGGTGAGCAGTGCCACCTCAACGTGAGTCCCCATATCTGCAGCCAGGCCCTGCAAGTCCTTGCCCTCCAGAGCTATTTATGTCAGTGTCATTGCTGTGTGACATGGAGCTGCTGGCCCTCTCCAAACTCATTTCCTTTCTGGGGAACTGTGTGGTTATTGTGAGTATTAAGTGGCATTCACTTGCAAGGCTGTGGCGTAGTCAGAGCTCAGTCACACAGCCTTTACTGTGGCTGCTAACTGCTTCAGAGTCTCCGGGTAAGGATTTCTCAATCTAGATCAAAAACACATTTGCCGACTTAGCAACAACAAAAACCAAACCGCCCAGTTTACAAATGGGCAAAGGACTTGGATAGATATTTCTCCAAAGAAGATACATAAATGCCTACTAAGCACATGAAAAGATGCTCAACATCATTAATCATTAGGAAACGCAAACAAAAACCATACCCAAGAGAATGGCTATTATTTAAAACATAGAAACTAACGAGTGTTGGTGAGCATGTAGAGAAATTGGAGCCCTTGTTCACTGCGGGTGGGAATTTAAAGTGGTGCAGCTGGCCTGGGGCAGTGGCCCACACCTGTAATCCCTGCACTTTGGGAGGTCAGGGCGGTCAGATAACCTGAGGTCTGGAGTTCGAGACCAGCCTGGCCAACATGGTGAAACCCCTTCTGTACTAAAAGTACAAAAAAAAAAAAAAAAAGGCGGGGGCCGGACATGGTGGCAGGTGCCTGTAATCCCAGCTGCTTGGGAGAATGAGGCACAAGAATCGCTTGAACCTGGGAGGCGGAGGTTGCAGTGAGCCAAGATCGTGCCACTGCCCTCCAGCCTGCGCGACAGGGTGAGACTCTGTCTCAAATATATATATATAATATTAAAGTGGTGTAGCTGCTATGGAAAACAGTATGGCCGTTCCTCAAAAATTAAACAGAATTACCTTATGATCAGCCAGTCCCACTTCTAAGTGTATACCCGAAAAGAATTGAAAGCAGGAACGTAAACAAATATGTACAGCAATACTCATAGCAGCATTATTCACAATAGCCAAAAGGTAGAAGTAACCCCAGTGTCTATGGACAGACGAATGGATAAACAAAACGTGGTACGTATACATACACTGGAACATTATTTACCCTTAGGAATGAAATTCGGGAGCATGCTACAACACAGATACACTGAAAACATTATACTAACTGAAATAAAGCACACAGAAAAGCATGATTCCACTTACATGAGGTCCCTAGAGAAGACAAACTCAGAGAACAGAAAAGCATGATTCCACTTACATGAGGTCCCTAGAGAAGACAAACTCAGAGACAGAAAGTGGAATGGGGGTTGCCAGGGGCTGGGGGGTTAGTGTTTTAATGGGGAGAGTGTTTCAGTTTGGGAAGATGAAAAGTTCTGGAAATAGATGCTGATGGTTGCAAAACAATGCGAATGTACTTAATACCACACCACTGAATTATGTACTTACAAATTGTTAAAATGGTAAATTTTGTTATATATATTTTACCGCAGTTTTTTAAAAAGTCTGTCCCTAAAACATACACGCACACACAACACACGTTTGAGAAGCACTTCTGGAAGCAGAAAAGAGATCGATTCAACAAAGGAAACAACTGTCAACTGCCTCCCACGTGCCAGCCCTGGAAGGTAGCTGCTGGGGCCCACCAGACATCTCCTGGGCCAGCATCCTCCCTTCCACAGGAACACCATCACCAGGGTGAAGCTCCAAGGTCAGTTCCAGAGAGATAGCAGGACATTCAGAACCTGGACCCTGAAGTTCAACCAGGTCACTGGAGCTGACCCGGGATGGCATCTGACTCTCCTTTGGGGCACTGCCTCATGAATCAGCCTGGTCTTGAAGCCTGGGGCATTTGGAGTGTAGGGGCGGGATAGGTGAGTGAGTGGGAATGACATAAACAAGTGAATGGGGCCACTGTTAGCCTTATTTATCTTCTCAGCTGAGTTTCCTTGTTCAGGGTCGTCTGCTTTAAAATGCCACCCAGTAGAGGACAGTTGACCCCACATCATCCTCTCTCAAGCCAGGAGCTGGGGGGAACCTCACCTGCTGCCTTAAGAGCATCCATATGAGGATGGGAGGCCAACTACATGAGTAACAGAGTTGGGATACTGCTGAATGGCAACCACGACGAAGAACCCACAGGAAAAAAGATGAAGCAATGAGGTGAGGAGATAATGGCAGGGCTCTCCAAGGCCTCACTCTGCAGGTCAGCCCGTCTCTAGAAGAGGTAACACATCTCTTTGGACTGGGAGGAGGAGCCCCGTGAGGTTCCTTCATCTGATTTGCTTTGCCCTGAGTGCTAAGTCCTGTCCTCCTGCAGTGGGACAGGCAGGTCCTTCTCAGTGGCTGGGGGAAATATGGTTCCTTCCCCTTCTCATACTGGTCCTGCAGCAGCTCCTTCCACCCAGGAAACTTCCCAAAATGCCTGCTCATGTCCACAGAGACTGGAAATAACCAAGGGAAGAGCCTGCTGTTATTTAGGGCCTTATCACGTCACTGCTGGTACCATAATATTTGCACATTTACTGAGAATCAACCAGTACCAGGCACTGGAACAGACCTTGGAAATACAACGGGGACACCATGACCATCTGGCTGACCAGTGGTCTCTTTGCTAGCTATTGCATTGAATGTTAGATGCTATGAAAAGCAAACATCATCTTATCTCGGCTCAGAGCTCTTGAGGCTTGTTGATTAGAAGACTGTAGAAATGAGGCCATGTGGTCAATTTTACACCCTCCACCCAAAGAGCCTATTAATTTCATCTATTACAGGTGACAGCTGGTGTCCCTAGTTTGACCAGCCATCTTATAGATCAGACTCAGTAGTTTCATGCTAATACAGTGACACTCTCAGAAGATTTATTCCCAGTGTATGTCTTCCTAATGTGCTAAATATGCAAAGGACATTTACCTCTGCACACAACTCCATTACTAGCAGCATAATTAAGGCTTTCAGTTGAGTTGACCACATAGCCACATAATTCGCTCAGTAGAAATTAGGTATAAAATCCATTTTCTTTTCAAAGAATGTTTAACTGGAAGTGACATCACAAAAAACTTCATTCTGTGGTGTTCACTGAGGAGACTGCTAGATCCATGTATGTGCTGTCTTGTACCTGAAAATCTAGTCTCTAACTCCAGGTTGAGCATCTTTGCTCTAATATCTAAACCAGGACAAGGAAAATAAATTTTAAAGTTTGTATCAAGTAGAATTCCAGTTTCTTATGTCACATGTTATGTACACAAAGCTAGAGAACCACATCTCTTATCTAAACAGTAACTTCTTTTACCTACTTCCATCTAATTGGTTTCTAGCTTATCTAATTAGTCTCATTTCACCTTCTAAAAGGGCACCAGCTGTGCCTTCTCCTTGCACAAAACCATCTCTGATCTAGGGTGCTTAATTTCATTCAATTCTTGCAATTACTCACTTTCTGTGGATGTACCCAGGTGTCTTCAGGCAATAGATGTACTTTTAAGTAAAGCTAATGAGCATAGTGGATTTGGTCCAGAATGCACAATGTAGCTGCATCTGCACAGACACAGCATTACAGAGAACAGACCAACTGCATGTTCCATTTAGCCTGGAAGAAACTCCTTAAGATCCCTGGGCTCTAAACCAGTAAGCTATGGAGACTTTCAAACTATACTAGAGCAAAACAGTCTCATTGGAGAGATTCCAAATCACTATCATATGTTGCAATTTTCCTTGTTCTATGCTCACCTTTTGAGTATCTGGCTTTTACCCCAGTTGAAATCAATGGGAACATTGCATTCAGGAGAATGTATCTAATGAGAAAACCTAACTCCAAATATAAAACACTTCTCTGTCGTTTATCTAAAATCCATGATTCAGAGGACCATGACGATATCCCATTGCTGTGTTTTTTCCCCAATGCAGTTTTCCTGTTTCCCTTTTTGCAGAGAGGTGCTGGCCACATAAGGTATAACAAATAGCATTATCTGCAGAGGAACTCTAAGAATGTGTGGAATGAAATGAAACAGCCTTCACTCCTCACAGAATGCTTGTAAATTGTAATTTGCAAAGCAATGCATTTGAATTCTTTTGTTGCATTAAAAGTGGGACTTTTCTGGAAGTCTCATGGAAAACCAAGCAAAAACAAAATGAAAAGTGGTTTCCTTTTCTGCAGATGATTAGTAAGAATTTAATAAGTCATCTTATTAAAGCCATCAGGTAAGCAAGGCAGACACTTTTCCAAATCCTATGAGCAAAATTAGAAATCTTACCCCAATTAATTTTCCAAAAGAATGACAAAAGGCACACTAAGTCAATTACTTTGGATTTGTGTAAATACTATTTTAAAGCTTTTTACAAGCATGAAATTATTATTTTTGAAAAGCAGTTTAAAACGATAGCATTAGTTAATTTTGGGTAAGATAAACCTTCATTTGTTCTCATGGTTCATATTATTCTTTGGTAGAAACGGACTAGAACAGCTGCCCATTCCCTGCTGTTCTGCATGGAATTATTTCCTGGTAGTATCCCCACCGTGAAATGAATTTCACTACAGCATCTCCAGACAAAGTACATATTTGACGTATCTTTCTGAAGGACAGCAGACTGCCTTTCAATTGGTCACGTGACCTCCTCCTGCTAATTACCCATTGGAATTCCCAGCAGAGAGAAGCAGGAAAGATGCTTTACAAAGAGCATCTGCCTGTGAGCTTTGCTGGAGAACAAAGGTAAACACATCCCAATAGATGTGTAAAGACTGTTAAAGCTCGCTTTATGAAACAAAGCCTGGCTTTAAAAACCACTCATCTTAAGACCCCGCAAAGCCAGGCAAAGATGCAAAATAGTTGTCAAGATGGTCTTTTTCAAATATTATTTTCACGTTATCGCTGTGCTGTGATCGTAAACACTTACCCAGTGCCTCTCAGCGCATCTGTGTGGAGGTGAGCTGACAGGCAGGGACCTCTCCCACCCGCCTCTGCTCGTTCCTCCACCAGGCCACTCCAATTGACAATGTCTTAGAACCTTGCATAGGAAGCAGGCGAGGCGAGAGAAGCTAAAGGGAGAGGCCACTGGCACCCGAGTCCAAAGAGCTGGAGGAGGCAGACCCCTGAGAATTTCCTGCCTCTCGTG